ATGCAGGATAGCATGCTGCTCTTCCATTGCACATGGTTGTCTCTTTCAGTCCCGTTCCTCTGAAGTGGGAACAAACAAATCTGGCACATTCAGTTTCTCATAGTTTTTATCTTCCCACCCCACTCCCCATCTTAAGTTCAATTTGTCCCATTTCTGCATGAGTTTGTTTTTTAATAATAATAATAATAATAATAATAATAATAATAATAATAATAGTTCACATGAAATTCTGTACACATTGTCACGTGCATTTCTCCTAATATGGGCATTTTGCTATGCAATTTCCTTAATGCATGCATTTTTGCAAACAATTTATCCTAGCATAATATATTTGTGTACATTATTTTTGCTAACAAACCCATTTTGCACACATTTCCCCCAATTCACCCATTTCGTGATGCAATTTTTGGTTGGAGAGCAGTGTTGCAAAATTCAGTGGCGTGTGAATTTTGAAGGATTGCTGCATTTTGAGTCACACACTGCGTTAAAAGGTGAATCAAACAAATACCTTCCCATCCTTTCACTGATCCACATTTGATACAGAACTATGACCTGCTTGAGCAGAGCTGCTGCTGCTGAGTGCTGTGGAGAGAGGTGGTTGTGTATGTGTCTGCATGTGTCTGCACGAGTGTGAAACTGATGAACAGCTGTTGCTTGCAGTTTCATTTTGACAATACGTTATTGCCTACAACATACCCTCCAACGTTTCTCAGATGAAAATAGGGACGTCCCATTCCAGAACGATAATTTTCCTATTTATACCCCTCATGTCTTATTGGGTTGCCCCAGCACTCTGGGCAGCTTACAACATGTATTAAAACATAACAAAACATTAAAAAAAACCCTTCCCTATACAGGATTGCCTTATGGTGGCTTGGGGGTTGGATAACTCCATACCTTCCAACATTTCCCCAATGAAAATAGGGACATCCTAAGGAAAAGTGGGACATTCTGGGATCAAATCAGAAACCAGCATCTCCAAATCAGGGATGTCCCTTGAAAATAGGGATACTTGGAGGGTGGGCTACAACTCTACTACCTGCCCCGTGCTTTAAGTGTATGGTGCAGATACTTCTAGTCGCAATGGCTGACACTGTGAGAAGCAGTATGCCTCCAGATACTAGTTGCTGAGAATCACATGCTGTTGCATGCATGTCTTGCTTATGGGTTTCCCAGAGGTATCTCACTGGCCACTGTGGGAATAAACCTTAACTCTTTTATCTTTGTCACAAATGAATAACTATATGCCGTAGCTAGGAATGGACAGTCTCCTGGCTTGTCAGATCTTTGGACAGTGGTACCTTGGGTTAAGTACCTAATTTGTTCCGGAGGTCCGTTCTTAACCTGAAACTGTTCTTAACCTGAAGCACCACTTTCGCTAATGGGGCCTCCTGCTGCTGCTGCGTCGCCGGAGCACGATTTCTGTTCTCATCCTGAAGCAAAGTTCTTAACCCGAGGTACTATTTCTGGGTTGGCAGAGTCTGTAACCTGAAGTGTATGTAACCTGAGGTACCACTGTAGTTTTCCCCCACCCTTGTACCCAAAATCTACCAACAAAGTCAAGCGCAAGGGATATATGGTTGGAATTAAATAACAGGGTGCCTCTAAGCACATCTAAAGCCTATGAATTTGCTTTCGGTCCCAGCTAAACAGAGTTCATAGAAAACTCCTGCTTAGTTTTCTTCATTCCAGCAGCCTTGTCAAGGTGTGGAAAATCATTTTTGCTGCGTTGCTATAGCTAAACAATTGGTTTTCCGAAACCTTTGCTGCAAATCACCCACAGATTTACCAGTAGCTCTGGATCAACCTTCAGCCCACCTCTGCAAAGATGACAGTTGCTAAGGCTGCAGTTACACCCTCCATATTTTATTTTTAATGAAATGAAAGCATGCCAACATATCCCACATAAAAAAATAAATGCTGTAGAATTATTGCAGCTTTTCTACCAACCTTGTAAACGCACCCATAAAAATAAGTAGCGAGCAATATTTTAATAGCCAGCATGCCCACATGTATTTATAATGTCCATTTGTGGCTCATCAGTGGCTTGAAAGGAGGAGGAAACACACACATACCCAACAGCTAGTTTACTAGAACTTCCTTGCCTCATTGCTTGGATGCAGTTTTTACTCATCACAGGCAACTGGACAACTTGTTAAAACAAGCCAGTTTTAGCCAGATCAGAACTGGGTTCATTGGGCCATTGTGTCTGGTGCTATCTACAGTATCCTGTCACCCCTGAGAATTACCTCCTTTCCCCCTTTAATGTGTTGGATATTGAAGAGGTCTGAAAGCTAATCAGTTAAGTCAGAAATCATCTTAGCAATTTTGTGATCCTTAGGCAAAATATTAAAACGCCCTCGACCTCTTCTCTCCTTAATACTCCCCCCACCACTTCAAATTGCTAGGAATGTCCCTCATCCATTTGTTTGGCCCTTTCTGAAAAAATAAAATAAGCAAAAGAAACAAAAAGCCCCAAGATGGTATGAAGTTCTTTCTGTCCTAGGCTGCTAGGGGGTGGGTGGGGAAATGCTGTCCCTTCCAATTGGTTTCTTAGAGAACCAATCGTAGTGACAGGAAGGAGTTGCAGCATCCTCAGTAAACATCACCTGGAAGTATTTATATAACTAAGGTCATTGAGTGCTAATCAGTATAAAGGAGGTGGAGCTCATTAAATGGTATTTCCTCCGATCCACAGGAAGGGAAGTGGTCCCTGCTCTCATGGTTGCCAGTTCAAGAATACTGAGCCTCAGTAGTTTGGTAGTTCATGATTTGAAGTCCAAGGACTGATTCAAATATCTGAGTCCTTGTTTTTTCATCAGTTTGGAAGGACTTGATTACTATATGAATTTTGCATGAATGCCGATTTTATGAAAACCGGTCTTAATTAATGTCAATGTTCAGTTCTGATGATAACACATGCATCATATTTTCGGATTGTTTTTGAATTTATATTCTCATTTGATTTGGTTTATCAATATCATTACCGTATTTTTCGCCCTACAGGACGCACTTTTTCCCCTCCAAAAATGAAGGGGAAATGTGTGTGCGTCCTATGGGGCGAATGCAGGCTTTCGCTCTCCAGGCTTCAGGAAGCTCTGCACAACCCTCGGGAGACCGGCTCCGAGGGTTGCGCAGAGCTGCCTGCAGTCCCGGGCTCAGCGCAGCTCTGCGGGGCCATCGGGAGCGGGGCGCGAAGTCCCGCCCGGCTCCCGATGGCTGCGCAGAGCCGCCTGCAGTCCCGGGCTCAGCGCAGCTCTGCACGGCCATCGGGAGTGGGGTGCGAAGTCCCGCCCGGCTCCCGATGGCTGCGCAGAGCCGCCTGCAGTCCCGGGCTCAGCACAGCTCTGCACGGCCATCGGGAGTGGGGTGCGAAGTCCCGCCCGGCTCCCGATGGCTGCGCAGAGCCGCCTGCAGTCCCGGGCTCAGCACAGCTCTGCACGGCCATCGGGAGCGGGGCGCGAAGTCCCGCCCGGCTCCCGATGGCTGCGCAGAGCTGCCTCCAGTCCCAGGCTCAGTGCACTTCTCCCCATCGCCAGCCCCACAAGCTTGGGGGACAGCGGGGAGGTGGAGCGTGCCTTCCCGCTGTTCCCCGACCTGGTTCTTCCAGCCCCGCACCTGGGGGGAAATAATTTTTTTCTTTATTTCCCCCCCCAAAAAACTAGGTGCGTCCTATGGGCCGGTGCGTCCTATGGGGCGCAAAATACGGTACTGGGGGGGGGGGAATACAATCAAAATGTGGTTTTTGAAAAAGGATCTATAGACTGGAAGATGATTCCTCCCCTCTCTCAGTGGAAGCCCTAGCTTGTTTACAGGCAGCTGTCCAACCTTAATCACCTACTCAGCACCAAGAATGGACCACTCAGCAGAGATGCAATGGTAGGAACTACCCAGCTTCTTTTAGGTGCCACAATATTCTTAGCAGTTCTTAAGGCAACGAGCATGGAAACCCCTTTGGAATGTGCCCAGTTTGTACCACTCCAACAGCACAAGTTTCCCAGAGAGCTTGTGGGACCTTTTGGGGAAAAAATCTAGGAAATACAAAGCAAGTATAACAACAACATGCTCTTAATGTAAGGGCTCCAGCCCACATGACATGGTGGCAAATGTGGGTTTGCTCCCAATTTTTCTCTTTGCCAGGGAGCTGCAGCATAGCATCAAGCTTTCTCTGCCATTTAATCCTGCTGGGCCTAGTTTTCTGAAATTAAACAAGCTTAGCACCATCCCTGAAGAGATGGAAAACTTCCTGTTTATCCCCACACCACCTATGCCAACAGCAAAGCTATGCTTGTGTGAGTCATGACCCCGAGGGAAGTATTGAGTATTTGGGTCTTCATGGCCCATTTAGTCTTTGACCTCTCAGTTGTGCCAGCAAAACAAGACGGACCTTATGCAGCACTTGGGCTGGTGGCTTAAAAGAGCTCAGCTTAGGCACTAAGCCAGGGGTCAGCAACCCTTTTCAGTCGTGGGCCGGTCCACCATCCCTCAGACCATGTGGTGGGCTGGACTATATTTTTTTTTGGGGGGGGGTGTGAATGAACGAATTCCTATGCCCCACAAATAACCCAGAGATGCATTTTAAATAAAAGGACACATTCTACTCTTATAAAAACACACTGATTCCCGGACCATCCTGGGGGCCGGATTGAGAAGGCAATTGGGCCGCATCCAGCCCATGGGCCTTAGGTTGCCTTGTTGTTGTTGTTTAGTCGTTTAGTCGTGTCCGACTCTTCATGACCCCATGGACCAGAGCACGCCAGGCACTCCTGTCTGGTTGCCTACCCCTGCACTAAGCCAGGGAAGGCAGTTGGTTCAGGACGATCAGCACTTCTATTTCCAGTATCTCTTTGGCCCGTTTGCCACAAAAGATAGCAGTGACCACTAGGGACACTGGAAGTTGCCTTCTAGCAAGTCAGACCATTGCTCCAACATATTTAACATTCTCTTTGCAATAGAGCCATTTATTTCCCTCCAGAGTTTTAGACAGGAGCCTTTCCCAGTGCTGCTGGAGCTGTGAGGGATTGAACTCAGGACCTTCCACATTCAAAGCATGTGCTCTGCCACTGAGCCACGGCCTTTAATTGCCGCTTCATAGCCCCCAAATGTAGGTATTCTAGTTAACATGCAATTGCCTAGGTCTGGAACATTATGCTAATCTGCCCACCTACCCCTTCTGCTTCTTCAGACGGTTTCCCTTAATGGTTTTCTCTTTAGCCCTGAGCCATTAAACCAATCTCAGCTGAGTTGTGAACATGGCTGTTTAAGAACAATTGACTCTTGGGGTGTACTCAATTCCCATTAAAATCAAAAGGAGGTTGATTTTTATTTTTTTAACTGGGATGTAGAATGCATCCTTAGGGGGGATTTATGTGAGGAATATATGCGCTTGTCTGTCTGTGGTTGGTTATATATCTGGGTTAGGGAAGAACCTGGAGATGCCCAGTATTGAGGCTGAGATCCTCTGCATGCAAATGCTCTAGCACTGAGCTTCTGGTAGGATATAGGCTTTGATGGTATTTAAAAACATTAGAAAATCCACAGGCAAATGGCTGGGATAGGGAAAGCTGGAACATCCATAGTTAAAGGCAGTATTGCTATATGCTGGGGGTACCTAGGAACACAGCGCACTGCTGCTTGTGAGCTTCCCAGAGGCATCACTCTCGCTACTGTCGGGAGATAGAAGGCAAAACTAGATAGACTTTTGATCTGATCCAGGAGAGTAATCAATTTATTTCTAACACACAACCCGCCCAGCACATTCTGACTCTCAGATGGGTCCATGACAGCTACCGTCAGTTTTGATCAGAGCCCACTGCAATGCAGGAAAGCACACAAGAAACCACAAGGTACACTTGTACCTCATTCCCCACGAATGGTAATGGCTGAGCTAAAGTTCAAGATTTTTTGTACCATATTGGCCTGAATATAAGCCTCACTTTCACCCCAAATTCTGACCTTGAAAAGTTAAAGTGCGGCTTAAATTCACGACCTTACAAAAATTGGCTTTTACTATATCACTGCTGAAACAGACATACGGTAAAATGGAACGGGTGTGAGTGCCTGCGGAATTTTAAGGGAGCAACTTATATTAGGGTGTGGCTTATATTCAGGCCAATACGGTATATGGGGAGCTTCTCAACAGAAGCACCTTAAGTGTCCGCATACAACTAGTAAACCAAAGACACAGAAAAAGCATCCCATGATTGAATCTAGATGGCTCTCCTTACATGTCCACAGCAGGCTCGTAATATGACCAGGAGGAACAGGAACATGTGGCTGAGATTATGAGGGCTTGGATGTGTTTTTGAAAACATTGGCTAGAAGCTGAGCTGTTTGAAATTTTGAGCTTGAGTAGAAGGGCTAAGTGGAACTCCTTTTGGAAGCTCTAGCCGCGTGGTCTGATCCTTGTATACGTTTTCTTGGAAGAAAGATCTGCTGTGTGCAGTGGGACACATCTCCAAAGAAATGTACATATGGTTGCAATCTTAGGCTTATCTGCTTACAAACCATAAGGAAATGGAATATGTTTTCCCCATACTGGACACCAAGGGCTGCCAAGCTAGTAGTGAGTTTAATCCCAACATATTGTTTGGTTTGTTGGCCCGCATGAGGGATTATTTCCAAAGAAAAGAAGTCAAATAATTATTTTTAAGTTACTAAGACTTTGTCACTGCTACTCATTACCATTCTCCATGTAGTTTGTTGTCTTTAATTATGTACAGGGAAGGGGGACTAGTCTGGTACCAAGGGCCATCTTGGAAATTTATGAGCTGGAGATCTGTAGCTCATCTGCATATTTTATTAACATGTTTGGGAATTGTGATAAGTCTGTTTCTGGAGCTGAATCTTCCACTCAACCGATTTACCAGCTGCTCACAATTTGTAACCCTCAAAAAGTGCCCTTTCTATTTTATTATACTGATTTAAAGTGTCAAAAAGCAGAACATAGGATTATTATTTCTAAAATACTATCTTCAAGTTTCCCACATCTTTTGGAAATTCTGCTTCCAAGCTTTCTCCTGCCTCCATGAAGGTTGAAACTTTTTTTTTTTTTTTTAAGAAAGAACATTTATGACAGAGAATGTCAGGGTTCTGAAGAGAGTTTCCAGTCCCAAACCCAGGTAAAATAATAGGAGTTGTACAAGGATTTACTATGTGGAGAAATCACCTGGCAAAGATAGAGGAACCATGACAGCTCTCATACTAACTCCTCTCTGGGAAAGACATTGTACATTTGTCATGCTTTCTTTAAGCAGCAGTGGGAAGAACAGGAGAATGGCAAAGGGCTACTGTTTAAACAGGAATTGTGAAGCATATGACAGCCTGCTGTCAACACTGCTCCTAAGGTTGCTTCTATGCTACAAGTGTACTAGTGTTTTTTTAAAAAAACAATTTGACTGTCGTGGTTTCCATTAAGGCACTCTGGGAGCTGTTCTTGAGAATGTGATGGAAGGAACAGCAAGAGGTCAGTAGGGTATTTTGATATTTTGCCTTCTCTCTACATCTACTCCATATTTGCCTGAGCAGCAAGAAGTTCCAGGATTTGCTTTCCTTCTGGAGGAGAGATCACTTGAGACATATGGTGATTTTGTGATATCTGGTTTATGCACAAATAGACAAGTAGAGGAGGTGTAGGGAACTGATCTGGTGGAGGGCTGGATCCTTATCACTCCCACCCCCATGGGCCAAGTTTGGCTGGTGGACAGAGCTATCCACCTATCCATCACGTCAGGTTACCCATTTTTGCCCATGCTGATGATCCTCTGATTGTCAGGCTTGCATAGCACTGTGCAAGTCCTTTTTGCCCAATCACATTGTTACCTGCTCCATACCTGGCATTGCCATATATAATGCATGGTATGGAACAGGTAACAATGTGATGCGTGTAGGGTAGGAGGGCAGGACTTGGCCAAATCAGTGTCATTGGCCAAATGGGGAACACTGGTGGGTCTGATATGCCAGAGCATTGTTGGAAGTAAGTGGCATAAAGTCTATTGAGCTAACTGAAGATTCCCAGGTAAGATCCTCCCCCTATTGTGTGGGCAGGTAGTCCCTCCCCCTACCTGGCCTGGTCACCTTGGCAACGCTTCCCCAGGCGGGATTGGACAACTGACTGAGGTAGGCGGAGACCTCCAGGTATCCCACCTGGGGGGAGGCGAAGCCAAGCCTGTGCTAATGGAGCCGCACAGGGTCCAAGGCCTGCGTGCGACCACGCAAAGAGCAGTCATTGTTTTACTGCTTTGTGGTTTGTTGCTCTAGGCTAAGGATGGAAGGCTATGCACATTTTGGTTATCTCTGTTTCTCATTCTTTCAGTCTTAAATTCAGTTCTCCACATTCTTCCAGCCATTTGCGTTAAAAACAGCAGCAGCAGCAGCAACAACAACACCACCACCACTCCAGGAATATTCTCCAGCATTTTAGTGCAGATGTACACATTTTTTAATGCAGCCTTGACTAACATAAACATTTTTGCAATCAATTATCTCTCATATAATGTATTTCTACATGTTATTTTCACTACTGTATTCATTTTCAGGCACATTTCCCTCCTAATGTATACGTTTTTATAAACACTGCCTGCTTGGAGAACTGCATCGTAAAATTCGGGGAGGTGCAAATTTTGAAAGATGGCTGTGTTTCAGTTCTCATATTGTTTTGGAAAGAGTAAATTTGAGAGATTTGGCATCAAATGCAAACTGAAACTATTTTCTCCCCCATCCCTGCCCTGGGCTCCTTTGAGAGGAAAGGTGGGATAGAAATTTACCAAACAATAATTAAAACAACTGCTAGCAGTCAACAGATCACCTGTCCTTTATCAGATCCCTGGAGGGAGATAGCTGTACCCCTCAGATATCTTCAGCTCAAACTTTGTTTTCACACAGCTTCTCTTGTTGTACTCGACAGACAGAGCTTGCATCGACCCCCGTCTCATAGCTGGGAAAGGAGGGTGTCACCTATTGATGACTTTTGCTGCTCTAGATTTTCCAGAGAGATCTGCAGCTACTTCCTGGGCATTTATTCCCCGCAGTAAAATTAGCTCAGAGAATAACATCCCCTTCTTCAGTCCCAAATTGTGGTCCAGCACTGCTGCATGGCAAACCCACATACAGTAAACATCAGACTCACAACTATATGGATATCTATCACCTCTTCTCTTTTTGTGGGTCAGGGATGGAGATGCTGTGGCCCTTCCTACGTTGCTTGACTCCCATCAGCCCCAGCAACTCCCATCAGCCCCAGCCAACACTGCCAATGGTCAGGGATGGTGGGAGTTTTAGTTCAGAACCATTTGGAGGGCCACTGGTTCTCCTTTTGACTGAGACTGCATGGACCAACGCTGCTCTCTCCAATGTTTTCATTTCTACTGCCCCTGTCCCCCTCCCATTTATTTCACTTTGTTTGCTCTTGTTTTATATAGATACCAAAGGCTCCTACCTTTTTGCACACTGTCACTAGTTCCATTACTTGTCTTTCTCCTTCAGTTTACTCCAGGGGTACCCTTCAGATGTTGCCCTACATGGTGATCTCCAGATGTTGTTATTGGCCATGTTGAGTGTGGTTGATGGGAGTTGGTGTCCAGCAACATTTGAAGGGCACAGGTTGGCTTCAGTTGGCTATCATTCCAAGTCTTGCTATGACCTCTTAATAACCTTTACTTATTGTGAAAATCTCCTTTGTGAAAAGGGACAGAAATGCTGCTGTCCAAGGTGGCATCTCATTTTATCCTCTGTTTGAAGGGCTGTCAGAGGACAATCCTCTATGTGAAGGCTTCCTGTGTTTGAAGAGCTCTCTGGCTCAAGTTTGGTTTTAAAGATAAAGAACCATAAGAAGGGAGATCAGGGCCTTGAGCTTGTCCATCAACACAGTTAGCACCAATACAGCAAGCTGAGCAAGCACACAGTCACCTGGTCTATCTTCCCTACTAAGGTGAGATGTCTTGTATTTCAGTTTAAATTCCAAATTCCAAATTGGCATCTCTACTTATAAATTAGCATAGGTGCATCTCTGCTCTCTTTTTCAGTGATGCACTGGCTCTCTTTTGTGTGTGTAAAGTATAAGCGGTCACTCTATCTC